AATTCCGTCCGCTGCCGCGCGACGAGCCACGGTGATGAGGAACGAGGAGAGGCGAGAGGGAAACAGATAGGGTAAGAGACGAGAAAGGAAGGAAAAGAAAGAGAGAAAAGAGAGAGAGAGAGAGAGAGAGAGAGATGTGCGCACAGGATGGAAAATTCGAAGTTCGCCCCGTCTCGGTCCGCTATCGACGCGACGCGAAGCGCGCACTTTTGTTTCCCTTCGAATAAAGATAAAAGCGGGACACGAATGGAACGATATCCGTGATCGGAGCTTTCAACCGAAACGAAGTGCAAGACACGTTCGCGCTTTCCCTTCCTCTTGCCCCCTCACTCCGTCGCCAATATACGGGACTTCGGAAAAGGATCGTTGAAGTTCCATCTTCCGCCCATCTCTCCGCGCGCGCCCCTCGCCCCGTCGTGGCTTTTCTCTCGGTTATTTTAGGTCCCCTCCACTCGCCCTCCACCCTCTCTCTCTCTCTCTCTCTCTCTCTCTCTCTCTCTCTCTCTCTTCCTCCTGCCGTCTTTCTGTCTGTGCCTATTTCCGCTTCCTATTTTCAGTGCCTACACCGAGAGAGCCGTATCGGAACTGCGTAATTACGGCCGGCTCGCCTCCTCGACTTTCGCGGGAGAGATAAATTATTAGCCGGGCACCGGCGAATTGGCTCCTCGCGCGATTGTTCGCGTTCCATCCACCGCGGCGACGCGAAATTACCGGGCATTAAATAAAATCAGCTGCAAGCGCGCCTCGTGTATTTTTCCGCAGCTGCCTAAAAGGCGGAGCGCGTGGCCGGGCGGCGGCGGCGCGATTTCCCGGCGCGTTACGCGGGGAGGATTATCGTTGAACCGTGACAAATCGGCCCCGGCCGATTACGGTGTTTTGCAAAGCGCTCAATAATCTTTTCCCTCGCACTTTTGCGCGTTAAGCGCGGTAATACCGGTTATTTTCCGCGCAGGGCTTTAATTGTCATCCTGTGTGCTCCCTCGGCCGGATAATTCATAACCGGCACGAACGGTAATTTATTGCCGGAAACTCGTTAAGATCGCTACTTCGAAACCTGTTCTTCGGAGCGGCTCGATAATGCATCTCACACCCGCTCCGTCTAATCGATATCACGTTCCCCGCCCCGGCCAAGTCTCGCCTCGACATACTCCATTATTCGGGTCGATTACGCGCGCCCCGCAAAAACGCACCGGCGACACGCAGCGGTCACCGCAGGATTTACAAGTCGTCTCGATAATTCGTCGAAAATCGCGTCGCCGGCGCCGATTGCTGAGATTTCACACTCTCGCGGGGCTTCTCCGCGCGACACACAGCTAAAGAAACGCGAATAACGAGAAGATGAATGAACGTTCAGGCAATTAGCGAGCGTCCCAATTTGTCTCACGACTGCAAGCTTTTATTCGAAATTTTATATCATCGGTTGTAACAAATTTCGAGCGAAATTAAAAGCTGCAGCTAAAATATCAAGATACCTCTACGGATTGGGAAATACAACACAATTAAAACCCTAAATGTTTTAATTATCAATTAATTTATTCTCACGACAGAGTCACTCGCGTGGTCATCTCGGAAGCATGTTCCGCGAGTAAACATTTCCAATGGCATCGCGGCGCTTATTTGTTCGCGCGCCGGGACGTCGCGTGAACAAACGTCTCGGCCAAAAATTCTCCTTCATCCGGCCGAACCTCGTTAGAGTACTTTCTTCCTCGAATTTCCATTCACGTCGTGCTCCTCACAATTTTACGCTCCGCAAATTCGATGCGGGAACAAACTACCCTCTCTCGCTCGCGACTGGCGCGCGTAATAATAATTAATAAAATGTATCGCGTATGATCTCTCTCTCTCTCTCTCTCTCTCTCTCTCTCTCTCTCTTTCTCTCTCTCTCTCTCTCTCGCCCAGTCTCGCGGCCACATCTAAATGATGCAACCGCTCGGCAACAGCCGAGAGCTTGTTGCAACTCCCGCGGCTCGTCGTTCAAACGGCGACGACATGAAAAATGTTTTCTTCCGGTACTTTCCACTTTCTGGAAACAAAAATTCTTGTAATAGTCTTTTTATCCACTACCTTCGTGCTGATGGACGGTAACCGAGGGGGAAGGATGAATCGCGTAAGGAGCACCAGTCGCGTCTCTTTATCTCGCCGCCGTCGCGCAGGGTGGAGGAAGAGATAAGTCGGTCGACGAGACGAAGAGGGGGAGAGAGAGAGAGAGAGAGAGAGAGAGAGAGAGAGAGAGAGAGAGAGAGAGAGAGAGAGAGGGAGGGAGGGAGAGGGAGAAAGGGTGGCCGGCGCACGGATCGGTACGTGTCTAGCCTCGAGAGTACACACCGGGAGAGGGGTTGTCGCCGTCCCCTGCTCGGCGGCTGGCGAGGAAACGACCTTGGAATCAGCTGTACGATACGAGGATGAAATTTCCTACCGCCGGGCGAGACGCGTCGTCGTCGTTTCAGCGCGTAGAAGGAGAAGTAGGAGAGAACGCGAAGAATAACGCGGCGGATGGGAAGGAGGGGAGGGGGTGGAAGAGCGAGGGGGGAAGAGAGAGAGAGCCCCTCGTCGTCAAGGAGGTCGGGGGTGGCACGACAATGAGGTCAGTGAGACCCGACGCCGCGGGGGATCAGGGATCCCCTTCTTGGGACCCTCCTCCTCCTCCTCCTCTTCCTCCTCCTCCTCCTCCTCCTCCTCCTCCTCCTCTCTTCGGAGGATCCTTTTCGAGATCCTTGTTGGGATTCCTCGCGGCCTGGCCGTAAGTTACGACGACACTGCCTGGGGAAAATTCGCTTTTCGAATCGCGCCTCGCAGGAAAGGCGAGCGCAAAATTGCAGCCGACGGCCGGCCGCTTCTTCAATTTCGATTCGGTGAACAAAACCCATTAGAGACGGACGGATGGACGGACGGACGGAGGTTGCCCGCGCGAACGAAGCGGCTCCGATCCCTTCCACTTTGTTATCTCGGCCGGAACGTGAATCCGATGAAACTCGCGATCCGAGCGATCCCGCCCCGCGAACTAACGTCACGGTGTCACGCTCCGAACGAACGACACGAGAGCGAGGCGCACGCAAGAGAGATCCGTCTGAGAAAATTTCGCCGAGTCCATTCCGACGGGGTCAACAGCACACACACACACACACACACACACACACACACTTTGCGCGCCGCTTCCCCGCCGGGTTCTGCATAAAATTGCAGATGCTTCCACAGAGTGAAAGCGCGAGATGTCAGAGAACATCGCGCGTCACGTCGGAAACGGGAGAAAGAAATTTCGCTCGCAACGTTTTCTTCTTCTCATCGACACCTGTATCTCCACTCTGCGAGAGCATTTGCAATTTTATACGAGAAAATGAAAGAAAGAAAGAAAGAAAGAAAGAAAGAAAAGCAAAAAAAAACAGTGCAGAGACCACGCTGTGCATTGTGTCGGTGTTCGGCAGCCCTTAACGCGGACGACAGGAACGCAATATCTCGAGAAGCGACGGCGGCCATTTCCGCATTGGATTTCACATTGAAGATCAATAGTTAACGAGCTATTTGCTATAATTATTCAGCCGCTAACGTTATCGACATCCAAACATCGCATCTCGTTACCACCGCCCGTCGCAACTCCTCGCTGCTACGTCCGCTCGTTCATTCATTCGTTCAATCGCTATGATTTCCTTATATCCGAGCGCGTCCATTAGCAGCGCGGATAAATGCGCAACCGTGAAGGATAATGATACGGTGGAGAGCGAGCACAACGGTACGTAAATAATAACGGGTGCGTATCGATCAAAGGGGAGGTGTCTCGCGCGCGCGCGAGAGGGAGAAAATTGAGGAGATAAATATAGAATTAAATAAATATGCAGGCGTTCATCGACGACGCGGGCTGCGTGAAGAAGGAGGGCCGGCGGAGGCGGAAGAGGGAGGAATTAATCGAGAAGACGGGGGTGTGAACGAAAGTTCGGCGAGAGAAGACGCGCGGTCGCGGCGAAAAGGATGACAGCTGGGAGGCAATGATCGAAAGTGGCGTGACCCGGCAAATTACTGTCACTCGGGGTAATTTCAGCGTAATCGCCTCTTCCATTCCATTTACCGCGTCTAAAGCGAAATTTACCTTTCGAGCGTATCCGAGGCAAGAGCGAGTGAGCGAGCGCGCGCGCGAGCAAGAGAGAGAGAGAGAGAGAGAGAGAGAGAGAGAGAGAGAGAGAGAGAGAGAGAGAGAGAGAGAGAGAGAGAGAGAGAGAGAGAGAGAGAGAGAGAGAGAGGCCACCGTCGAAAATATAACGCTCGTCATGGCGAAATAATTCTCGCCGACGACGACGACGACGTCGCGTGATCCCGTCCACCTGTGTGTCGCAAACAACGACGACGACGACGACGACGGTGACGGAGGCAAAGCAACCAACACGTCGCGACGCTTCCCCCTTTTCTCTTGCAGCACGAATTAGAATTCGCACGACGTAGGAATCTCGCGAGATTAACGATGCAAACGGAACGCGGTGGGAATCCTCGGCGCGAGGATGAGCCGAGTCCTGCGGGTGGGCCGGAAATCCGGATCTCGAAATTCAGGAACCGGGGCGCGATTTCGCCCCCCCCCCCTCCACCCTCCATATCCGGAAAGTCGTCGCATACGCGTGGATAGAAGCGGTTGCATTCGTCGTCGTCGCGCGCGCGGTATTATAAGGCTAACTCGATTTCCGATTTCGTACGTCAGAATTGCGCACGCGGCTTTTCTTGTTGGTCAAAGTGTAACGAAAGTTATTCACACAGCGAGCTGTGAAAACTGTGAAAAGTCGCTTTAAAGAAGTCTCTCCTTAAATCACTTTTAAGAACCGAGTCGAGGTGATTTCGAATCACCTGGTTTTCAAATATCACACACTCAGGATCCAATCGCATGTCGCGCCACCAACTGTCGATGTCGAGTCGCAATCGCCGATCCTTCGAAGAAGCGAGATGCGCAACAACGCCTGCGCGCGATCGCACATCTCCGCTTCACGCGTTGCTCGGAATCATATATTTGTAATGGCACTTACGTTGGACACATTGTAGCTGCTGTATTGTTCTTTCGGGCTGCCGCTGCTGTTCTGCTCGCACTGCTTGTTCTTGAAGGCTCGGTAATTCTCGCGGAGCTGTTTGCCGTACTGAAACACAAAGCGGTCGTTGAGAGAGAGAGAGAGTTGGCCGCGTCGCGACGACTTACTGGCCGAGCCGCGGAACCCTTAGACGCGCCCTTAGATGCGCCCGAGGGCGCATCGCAACGCCGACGCCGGCATGAGACGCGTACCGGCGATTTGCATAATTTTACACGCGGACGAGCCGTTCGCGATGTTCGGCCGATCGATACGAAGCTCGTCCGGATCGATCCACTTCGCTGCTGCGCGAGTCTGTCTCTCTCTTTCTTTCTTTCTCTGGCGATTGAGCCTCCTCTCTTACCTAATTTTCCCGCAACGTGAGCGGGAATCAGTGATAGGAATTTGGTGAAACGGGCTTGCCAGAGAACTTCCCCCACCACGCACACACACTGCCAGCTCGGTCCGTCCGTGTGAGCCACGCGCTCGGCACTGTCACGTGGCTAGGCCGAGCCGGCTTATATATGTGTGCGTGATGGTGGGGGAAATTCTCTGGCGAGCCCGTCACCAATTCGCATGATTGTCCGGGAATATGGGAGGTAGGGATGCCGATTTTAAGTCGATTTAATCGAAGATCGATTAATCGGTGCCTAAAAGATCGATTTCAAAATCGATTTTCTGGAACTGAATCGACTCAAGGATCGATCTGTAAATTCTGAAAATCGCCAACAGGATCTTTTCAGTTTTTACTAGCAATAGCTTGTTTTTACTTCTTTTAGTTGTAACATTTAAACTCATTCAATGGTTGCACAATGCACATTGTGTTGCCTGTAGACCGATGTGTCATGGGTGAGAATTTTCAGCGGAACGAAACGCGCGAACCAATCACAGCCACTCCATGTAAAAGTATACATATGTATATGCATATAATAGTAAACGTGATTTCTTATTTAATAACGTTGAAAAACCCTCGATTGACGTTTAATCTAACTAATTAAATCCTTAGCACAAAGGTTTAAAGATCTTTTTCTATTTTGTTCTAACCACCCACACAAACACACACACACACACACACACACACACACACACAGAACACAACCAAAAGAATACCATATGTTTAATTTCTTTAATTCATATTAAAATTTAATTTCTTTAATTCATATTAAACTTAAATATATGAATTACGCGAGGTCTACTTTAGAGTGTAGAAATTTGACAGATAATACTTCAACGAGTGGTTCACTCTACATGCATACCGATTCAAATCGATTTTTTGAAATCGATTCTTTATAAACCGGCCCTTTAAAGATCGATTTTTTTCTCCGTGATTCGAATCGATCTTTAAATCGATCTGTTTGAGAAAAAATCGTCATTCCTAATGGTAGGCAGCGCTAATTACCGGGGTATTAATTACAGTTCTCAACAATTTTCAAAAAGGCGCACAATTTTTAGTCTACCGTTTCTCTATTAATATTAACCTTTAGAGGACCGGGGTGGCTCCTATAGGAGTCACTAACAAACTCGAAAACTCTACGCGACATGATGGTTACATACCTATGTATAAATTCTCCGCGAAAAAAATTGCAAATTTTGAGGAAAAAATAGCGGTTCTTTAAAGATTAATTAGCGTCTACCGGCCTATAACGTACAGACAAAGCCCCAGCCAAAAGCGTTAAACGCGTCAACACATGCGAGGAGTGTGTGTTTACTTCTCTAGGGGCCTTCAAAAATATTTCCCAAACTTCACCGGAACTCTCATCCAGTCCAGTAGCGTTGACCTTGTATGTAATAAATCGCGCGTATTTATACAAACATTTCACACGGACCTGCCGAACCTCCTTGCGCTGTATTAATCATGAACTTGTTCGCGGTGCCGTCACGCATCAGCCACCTTGAAAATTAAGAGTCAACTTCGCCATCGCGTTTTGTTCCAGAAGACGTTTCCTCAGCTCCTACAATACTCATCTACGTCTCTTTGGTGTGTGCGGCTCTCGCTAAAGCCAGTCTCCCTTCTCTCCGAGCGACCCTTCCACTTTTACTCCCAGTAGTGCTTTCTTTGATCAGTGGCCTCCCAACCTCTGAGGGACGAGTGCCCTGGGCTTTCGTTCTGTTCTGAATTATTTTAGTCGGAAGGATTATATCTCAAAGTTTTGTTTGCTACATATTCTCCCTCGTGTACTTTTATCCCTTCTCATCTCCGCTCCGATTCTACATTATCCTTCAACTTGAGAGATTTTGATTTGGCCACTTGTTAGTTTCTATTGCCTAAAACGAGATCGCAAGCGGAAGACCTGTCCTTCACGAGGACAACGTCGGAATAATTCAAAGTATTTTGCACACGAGGCAAAATATTTGACTGGACGAAACAATTATCCGGTGAAATATGAACGGTACAGAATACTTTCCCGGTTGTGGAGCGATCAGGATTCAGTTCTAAGTTGTCAAGATTTCTCCTTGACCTACACAGAATTCTCGTGTCTTCGATCTCCGAAGCGCTTATATTCCAGCAGAAAATTTCTTCGATCAAACGTTTTTCTCGAAGCTGCTCTTTTATCGCTTTAATATACGAATAATATTAACAACTTGAATGTTACCGTTTCCCTGTACTTTTCACGATAAGTACGCTAAACCGGCGTATGACGTGGGAAATAGAAAAAAATCCAATTCGGAACACAACTACTGCGACTAACACGCGCGATTCGTCCTTCGGCGAGTCAACACAACAATGTTGGCGGTTCGACGCACCTCGCCATTAACCTCGACACCGGTTACGCATCGCGTGGCCCGCTTTTATCCTTGGCGCAACAGGATTAACGATATTCAGTTTTCGGCCCGGGCGAACTGTAATCCCGTTTCTTACGAGCGGCCGGCAAACACGGGGGAAATATTCGATCGGAACGCCGATTCCTTTGGAAATATTTACGCTCGACCGGGCGACGATAAAATTTCGCGGCTGGGTCAAAGGTAATCCGTGCGAGCTCTCTTAAGCTCCTTATATCGCTGACGCGAAGCGGCACAGTCATCTCGGGCGAGGTTGAGTCAAGTACAAAGCTTACACTTCCTTCTTCAACTTGGAGCCCTTACAAATCGCCCGAAATTCCTACTCATTTTTAATTAATTGAGGCGAAAGAGCAGCGAGGCAACCCGAGAAATTACCGACAACATACTACACTGATGGAAAAATATAAGTTGAATTAACTATAATCTCACTATATTTTACAGTTCATTTTGGCGTCAACCATATTTTTATAGTTGGTGGAACCCGCGAAATATAGTAGAATAAATACAAATATACAGTCAATGATTGTCTGAAATAATTGTTTAGTTACTTTTACCACATATATGGTAATTTCTCATTCACAAGTATAATGAGATTTAATATTCACATAGTTACATCTGTCATCATTTAGCAAATATTCTGGTAATATTGACTATATAAAAGAGTTACTTTACCTACCACCACTTTATATTTGTATCCATACAATAATTTTAGTTTAACTTACTATAATTCTTAGTAAAAATATTATATATAGTTGGTTATATTATACGATATGCCTATATCGTAATTATTACCGATAATACTTACTATAAATATGATATTTCGGACTATAATTTAGTTACTATATCATTATAGTTCCAAATAGCGTATACTTTTCTCTCAGTGTACAAATGGATAAAGCGACGATTAAAATCCCCGCGATCACGGCGCGTTCGTTGTCGAGCAAGAGTCTCCTGGCTAAATTTCCATCCTAAATTGCGAAGAAAGAGAACCGTCGGCCCGAATCGAAATTAACTTTGCAAATTCCGTCAAATTTGGAGGACCGACGATTTTTCGGATTACAACGCTGTACAGATTCTCGCTTACATTCGATGCTGTAAACGTCTCTGTTTATAGGTGCTGTCTTTTCTTTTCCACACTAAGGATCGAAGAAGAACCTAAAGCTCTAAAGCTAAGAGCCCTAAAGCTAAGAGCCTCTAAAATGGAGAGTCTTTTTTAGAGACTCGTGCTGTTGACACGATGTTGAGAAAATTAATATTCAGAATTATTCATTATGTGATTCTCTCTTTCTCTCAGTGTCCTGCCAGCATTTAATTCTTATTCCCATTACGTCCGCTACCAGCATCACAGATGCATGACGCAGCGGTCTCTCGCGAGAGGCCAAGCGTCACACACATGTGCGCGGCAGCGATCATTTCTCTCGCCACGTCCACATAAACAAGCAAAGTGTTTCATGGAGAGAAAAGAAAACGCGAGGTAGCGTGACGAGCGAGCGCGTTAATTTCAATAAACAACTTACTCAATTCCACATCGAAAAATACGCGCAGGATTGTCCTAAATTAAACGAGCAACCGCTTTTGCAAGCTCAAAGCTCAAACAGCGGCTCAAAATACAGAGCATTACACTGAAAATCTGCGGTCCCTCAAGCTGAATGAAATTCGCGGGATGGAAAAATCGGAATACAAAAGCGACGATGAGAAGCAGAACGTTGCAGGCGTTAGTCGCGGGTGAAAAGTCCTTTTACGGCGTGCGATGCACAAAATAATTTCAAGTACATAAAATACAGATTGCACATCAAACAGATTCAAGTACTCGTGTGAATATATTTTCACGAACTTAACCCAAGACCAGAACCTCGTGCCGGGGTTCTGCCTTCCTCGAAGACGCCCACGGATCTCGGACCGATCGAGAGAATTTTCACGCGAAACTTCGGAAAAGTCGCGGAGAGGCGAGACTTGCCGCGGCGCTTGCGGCAAGCGTGTGTCGGCCATGGGACAAATGTGGACGCGGAGGGACAGGAGACGAGAGGAAGAGTATGAGTAAGTAGAGGAGACGAGCGCATTACGTGGACGGGCGTGCATAACCGTGGCGGGTCCAGTCGTATCGACCCAGAAGACCCAGAATCGGACGCATCTACGCTCGACCGACTGCTCGCACGCACACGCGCGCCCCCCCCTCGTATCACGCAAGCGCGTCGCCGTGTATGACGTGCGGCGCACGTGCACCCACAAGCGAGAGCGTTAACGTTAACGTGCGGGCTGTAACCAGGGTTACCAAATCCAAAAGTAAAAAT